AGAGAGAGAGAGAGAGAGAGAGAGAGAGAGAGAGAGAGAGAGAGAGAGAGAGAATCAGAATAGATCACTTTTGGTATCCGAGCAACTTATACTTACTTGCGATCAAGGCAAATCGAGCGAACATATTCCGTTGTGCTAAAGTATTTGATATCGATTTTTCAATATTTTTGTTTTTGCAGTGTCGATGGACGCGTTAAATATTTATACAAGTATTTTTCCAGTTAGAGTTCACTGCATTGTAATTTGATCGCGTGTTTTCTTGAATTCGATTAATACCGATCTTCGTTTAAAATTTCTTTAGTATTTCGCGATCGTCTCGGAATGGCAGACACGATATAGCAGGGTGGTTCCTTTCGATCTGACCGTTGGCCGGGGACTGATCCCACAGAAAACGACTGTCCGAGAAGTAAGTTCAGATTCGTGTGATAATTTCACTGGCCCGCTGGATGACCGGCATTGAAAGGTGAAGGAATCCTGCGATCGAGTTTCGGCGCCCCGTTAAATCATTGATCGGTTTACGATCTGGGAGTCTGTCCCCACTTTTCTCACCGGATTCGGTAATTCGTTGTAAATGCACCCCTGACTAGAAGCATTTATTAATCATAAATCGTTGAAGATTCATTTAGAAGACCTCATTTAATTATTCGAGACACATTGTTGTTTAATAATAGAATGTACTACTTGAAAAATATTTTCAAATACCACGAGGGATACGCAGAAAATTATAAACGATCGGTCCCGACGAGTCTCATAATAAGTTCAATTTCGTTTCTTTCTTTGTCTAACAAATTCTCGATTCTATCGAAACACGTATACAAGTGTGAACATATGATATATCCGATGTGACAAATGTTTCGTAGTTCCATTACAAAAAGAACGTTCGACGAAAATCGAGCCTAATTCTGCAGGCAAACGGGGATTTTACGTAACCCGTGAATGTAACTCGATCCCGATGATCGATCTTCGTACGTGTATGGAACCCCGAAATTACTGACCTACATTTTTTTCATAACAAACATTCACTTCCAAACTGGAGCAACGTGCTACTGCTCCGGCACCGCCTACCTTGTAGCGCAAGATTTGTATCGCCGAAATTTCGCGTTCCCGGGACTCGTTCGTGATAATTAGACGAAACATAGAAAACGAGAACAACGATCTCTCGACGGCTGTAATCACAGATATTTATAAGAATGTAGAAACGTTGGATCGTTTTCCAGAAAACGAGATCGAACAACGATATCTCACCATTTGCTTCATTGTAAGAAATACTAATCAAGTATGTGAGTAAGAAATACTAATATCGAGACTGAGAATCGAACAATAATTCGCGAAAATTCTGTGGATTATATCGTACTTCGTAATAAAATCGAGCAGTTCGAATACAGAAAATTTGGATAGTCTCGGAGTAAAATATTCCCGATGGTAATAATTGATAATGCACGAGTGTTTCTTTGCTTCTCAGACGGGAATGGTAACACGATCACGGTTTTGTTACCGTAATATGCAAATCGGATCGAATAATTTAAGGATCAAATATCCATAGGCAGTGTTCTCTGGGTCTCTGCCAATCTTGCACAATAGTTTGGCGCCAGCCTCCCACGTTCTGGCTTATCTCGTTTCGCTCCTTTTTCATACCAGAGAAAAAGTATTTACGCCAAAAGTCACCGGTCGCCTTGAACGTACGGCCGAATTGACAGTCCACAGTTCCAATTACCATGCGATCGGATTCTTTTGCCATTCGCAAAAAAGACAAGCAAAAAGAAAGAGTCAATTTGGCGGTACAAAATTCTCTCTACGTTTGTTCGCGCGATTGTGCAACGCCTTCGATCGCGTCTAACATTTTAAAATTCGTTTAACATCTCTTTTTTAACATTTCTGTTTTTGAATATTCGTTTGAAATATGGAACCGCAAACGAAACGCAACGGGGGTAGAAGGGAGACAATGAAGGTACACGTTTGTTTAAGCAAGTTTCTATTCGTTTGCGCGCTTAGTTGTACACTTTCTTACAATTTTTTGCATAACACTTGAAACAATTCGCAGTTTATAAACAGTTTGTTTGCTATATTAGTTTCATATAATCATTTTTATCGTGTCCGTAATACTGTAAAAGATAATCGTTCATTTAAGTGAAGGTCCTCCTTGAATTGTCATCATTTATCCCGATATAAAGTAGACATATATATACTCTAAACTTCGGCAGGATTAACATTAATGACGGGATTGATTTTGATTTAACGATGACATTTCCTTGAGGCAATGTGCGCCATACCGCAGGCAGTTTTAAAAAGGAACTTTTTTCGAATCGGCAGTGATCACGTTTATGTCAACACTTTTGACATTGTATGACGAGCCGTTACCAGAGGTACCGTGCCAGTAGCGCGAATAAAACTAAAGTAAAATTTAAAACGTATCTGTCGCACGATGATGTGTCGTCGTTCGTGTGGTCCGTGTTGTTTGTGTCGCTCCCGTTTGTTAGAGCCATGTGAATGGCTTGCATCATGGGGAAATTGGGGTTCGTTGGTTTCGGGTGTTCTTTCCACCTCCGACATTTGCCCTGGAAGTCGTCGGTGTCGATGCTCCAAACCATTATACCCCCGAGATCCATCTTCATTGCAAATTCGCTCTGTAAATTAGAATGCAACGGTGTTTGTCAATAAGCTCATATACTTTCCAACACGGATTCGCCGACATAACCGACCTTGTTCTTTATACTAGTAGGATCATCGTATACGATAACTTGTTTGCCTTTAACAGCATATGGCGTATTGCTACCTTGATCCCAGCCAACGCTCCAATCGTTTGGATTGTTCATTATTTCTTCGCAGATCTGTAAAAGAATTATCATTAATTAAAAGATAAGAACTGCTGATAAAAACTGTGAAACACGTGTTGAACTATTTTTACATACTTCATTGTATCCCATGTATCCATCCTGCCTAGTATAAGGCCCCTTGAACCCTTCGTTCTCGCACGGTTTATTCATAGGGCTCTCGCTAGGAGAGCCGGGCATGAAAGTCAATATGAATGTTCTTCCATACATGGGCACACCTAATATTAATTTGCTTGGTGGTGCACCTTTTGCCAACAAGTGTTTGATCGTGGTTTCCTGAAAAAAGCAGACATTTTTGGGATATTATACACCTAGCAGTATTACGAATGCTTGGTAATTTGGCCAATATTAGTCAACTTTCGCTCGGCTATCCAGACATGGTTATCTTGGTTAGCCAGACAAGGATGGTGCTAAATGGCATTGTGTATATGCACCTAACTCAAATAACTTTTACTGCGATTTACTATCTGGCTAAGATGTCCAGTGGCAAGAATCATTTCATATAAGGTACACACAAGTACATTCCTGGTATACTATCTATTATTCATATCTGTCATTTATCTGATTGCAATCAGATCGTTATCGTAATCAACTAATTAGAGCTAATTAGCTCGGACGAAAATGTTTTCAGTGCAGCACAGCTGTGTTTTATGTTCTATCTAATCTTTTAATTTCTTACCACGTCGACATTTTTTTGGCTTGTCAACGGCGCGTTTGGAAGCACTATCCTATCCCATACACCATGGTAATCGTACGCCATCACGTAAATGTGATCCAGATACTTCGACATTTCTGGAATATCGTACCCCGCATCTATCAGTATTGTGTTAGAATTTATCGCTGCTGTCAAAATGTACCCCGGCCCTCTGAACGCTTCCTTCAGTTCCTATTACAAAAGAATTCTTTGTTACATGCAAGCTATCATTGGAAATCGTGATTGATTTTATCTATCAACAAATAAACAATTGCACCTTCACGAGAAGTACAAAGTTCTCTTTGTCCTCTGGTATTCCTCCGCGGGCAGGATCGGCAGGAAACTCCCAATCCAGATCGAATCCATTGAAGTTGTATCGTCTGCAAGAAGAACGTGTCTTTTAGAAGGGACGTTAGTCGACAAGAACGAATTCACACGTTCGATTAAATACTTGAGGAACTGGACGACACTGGAAATGAATTTCCCTCTTCGTTCAGGGGACGAAGCGAGATCGGAATAGTTTTTGCCGCCCTCGTTCCAACCCCCTATCGCAAGGGAAACAGCTTTCAGGTGGGGATATTCTTTGCGAAGCGCAGTTATCCTGTTGTAGTCACCGATTCCTAAAAATTTGTCGAATTCTTTTAGATTTGACGTACGAAACAAAGAATTCAAGGAAGTTTTCGAAAAATTCGTTTACGATTCAAGTTACCATTCTCGATGTCCTTGTACGGATCCAGACTTCGGATGGTCCAATCCGTGGCATTTATTCCGGCGAACGCATATATAATATGCGTACAGAGATCTCCTCGGAGATTGTTTATTCCAAATTTGCCAGGACTTGGTCTGTACCAAGCCCAGGAAACGACGTAACAGGCCACCACTTTATCGTGTCGCGGTTTTGTCAGACCTTATGAAAACGGATGACAAGCATGACTACACACATCCATAACATTTGATTTCGTGGATCGTTTCCTCGTATTAAATTCGTATATTGTAATTTATTATTAAGTAACCAGTTTGAATTATTAATTATTTTTTAAACACGTTTCGAAAATTTAGTTGTGGTTCTTGAATGATCCGGCATCTGCGTTCTGCGCAGTCCAGACGCTCGACTTTTTAAAGATACAACAACATTCTCTAGACTGATATACGAGCTATTAAAGAAATAGGAAGCGGAGATTGCAATTCTTTGCAGATTGTAGTTTTCATTGGAACGAAGTCGAACGAAGGTCACATTGAAATGTCAGATTTCCATTACATAAGACACCGTAGAAAATGTCAAATACATTCCTGACTTTCGTCTGGTTTAAGTTTACTCCGTCGCCGTTTATCGGCACCGGTATTCGATGATTCGAGTGTGAAAATTGTGAAAGTACATCTCTCTGTTTTCGCACTTATCTGTGAAAGTACTTTTAAAACTTCGAACCTTCTAAATTTTCAAGAAAAAGAAGAATCTTGAAAGAGAAACATAAGAAGATTATTGTTCAGTAATCCTCATATGTCTCCCAATAATAATTTCACAAAAGATTCGTTCGTAATTGTCACCTACTTCGATTTTTAGTAATACTCTTCGCATAAATTTCTATTTTTAAGAAAACATTGTGAATAGGTACAACCGGGTTCTCGGTTGCCTACACATAGATTAAACATGGATCGTTTTTCCATATTCAGATTGGAAGAGTGAAATGAATTTAACTGTTACTCAGTATGCTGTATACTTTAGAGAAATTGTTTCCGTCTTATTTAAATAATCAATTCAATTTATTTATATTATAATATATAATATTATAATAATAATATATATATATTATAATTATATAAATTTTGAAGAAGAGTAGAGGACGGCTGGGTAAAGTATGTTAAAAGTTACGTTTTCAACTATGTACAAGTAATTCAAATCGATTGATCTAATCTTTAAAAAGTCATTACGTTTTGAAAAGCGTAGACTCACTTTTGCTCTTCACTGTATATGACTTTATTAACTTGCCAAAAAGGTATATTTTCTCTACAGAGAATAAAGAACTTCGGGTTTTTTGAATGTACTGTTGTATGTACTTCTGAAAGAGACCTGCGGTCGATCATGGCGAAATTTAAATGGAGTGTAGCGGAAGGTGGGAGAACCCAAAATTTAAAATTTCAACTCTGTGAATTTAGTAGTTTACAAAATATTAATGAAAAACTTTTAATACTATACATCGAAAATGATATAATAAAACAAACAAATACCACTTCATGTGAAAATAAATCATAGTTATCAAGTACTCAAGTATAAAGATAGGCAGAGAAACGCTCACCTGAAGTATCGTGAATAGCGAACAAGAGGAGCACGAACAGATATAGAATACTGTACACCTTCATTGTTGAGGGCAACTTACCGAATGCTGGGTTGTTGGCCTATGGTAGTCAGCTTTCACTCGGCTTCCAGACGTGGTACGTCACCTCTTGGTTATCCAGACAAGGATAGTGCTAAATGGCATCGTGTATATGTTCTAACGCAAATAATTCTTACTGCGATTTGCTATCTGGTTAAGATGTCCAGCGGCAAGAATCATTTCATATAAGAGATACACACAAGTACATTCCTATAATACTATCTATGACGCATTCATTTACCTGATTACAATTCATTTTGTTTCGCTGAATCAATCGTGAATTTTTCAACAAATCGCAAAAATAACTGTGATTCATATTGCGTTGTTCAAATTAACGCGTTAATTTGCTCGGACGAAAATATTTTCAATGCAATACAGCTTCATTTTATATTACACACATTGTATATGCATATATGAACTTTGCGACAATCGTGTATATACGTTTGTAGTGCATAATCCAAGATGGCAGCATCCATGGTTTTGATGGCATAGGTTAGGGATCCTGTATTGTAATACAATTTTGCAAATATTTTTTTATGCAATGCCTCTTATCATCGTAACTGGAATACCTTGCAGTGGTAAAACCACACGAACGACCGAGTTGAAAGAGTATTTTGAAAATAAAGTGGGAAAACAAGTGGAGGTTATAAACGAAATTGATGTTGTCACAAAGGCAGGCTACGATAAAAATACTTTTTACGCTGGTTAGAATTCGTCTATTAAATTTGTTTTTAAGGGTTATTTATAAGAATTTTTGTTGGTTTTACGAACTGCATTGCAGATTCAAAGAAAGAGAAAAGCGTAAGAAGCGATATAAAGTCTGCAGTCCAACGACTGTTAAACATTAACGATGTGTTGATAATGGATGGCAGTAATTATATCAAGGGATATCGCTACGAAATATACTGTATGGCAAAGTTGTATAAGAATCCTCAGTGTACGGTTCATTGTGATTTACCAATCGAACATGCTTGGTTGTGGAATGAAAAACGACCAGATTGTGAACAATATAGCAGAGAAATTTTTGATGCCCTTGTAATGAGGTAAAGAAAGATGTGACGCAAAGTATATTTTGATTGTAATATGTTACATGTTATGTAGGTATGAAACCCCAAATAGTAAGAATCGTTGGGATTCTCCATTATTTTCAGTGTCGGTAGAGGATGAGTTAAAATTTAATGAAATTTATAAATCTTTGTACGAAGTGAAAGCACCGAAACCAAATTTAAGTACTCAATGTGTTAGTATCAATGAAAATTATTATATTAAATTATATATCAATATTTCATTCATATCTATCACAATATGTACAACATTTCAGCAACCACTGTCATCTACAAATTATTTATATGAATTGGACTCAGTTACTCAAGAAGTGGTCAATGTAAGTTGTTTAAAGATCTTTATTTGCTAAATAACCATAATAAATCGTTTAGAATGACACTACAAAGTATTAGAAATCATAAGTGTATACTTATGATAAATTAATTTACATGTTCTTTTTTGTTTTCAATATAAAAAGGCAATATTATCAGCCAAACAGTTGGGTATCGAAAATGATTTTAAAATACCAGGACATAATTTAACTGTACAAAGTCCATGTACAGCAGCTCAACTTATGAGATTACGAAGACAATTTCTAACTTATAGTAAAATGCAACAATTTGAGGTCAATCAAATTGTAACATTGTTTGTACAATACCTAAATAAAAGTCTGTAAAGAGGAAAACACATTGATATCATCTTTCCACTATCTATTTTTGTACCATAAGTGCTTTGAAAATATTATAATATTTTTAAAGAGGTAATTACACATTAATCAAATTTTTCATTGCATATTGTTTTTAATAAAAAATTATATTAATTACATTGTTAGGCCTAACTTATTTTATAATTATTTTTGGCCTGCATGTATTCTGTATTGCAAAGTAATCTTTTGCTTTGCAACATGAATTTGCTTTTTGTAATAACATAACATTCGTCTAAATTATCGTGAAATAGATATTGAAATTTGTGCGACTTTCTTTTTATCTTGGAAAAATACATAATTGAAAAGAACGCAGAAGAAAGTATCGATCACAAAACAAAAACACTGAAATTTTGAAATTGCATCTTCTTTTACAGTACTAACATTCGTCAATTTGAGACAAAACTGGATAAGGCAACACTGGTTTCTGTAAAAATTTGTAACTAACATGTATTTTTTGATAAGATGCATCTGTTAATCATTAATAAATGAAAATCCTCTATAAAGCAAATGGAAGAGAGCATCTCGAACGGGGAACATTGCATATTATATATACATGCAACCAAATCTAGTTTGCTTTATTTCATATTATCACGATATTTGATAAATAATGGAAACAATAAACGTTTAATGATTATGCTAAATCACAAATATTGAACTCAAAAGAAAAATCGCAAAACTGTTATTATCAAAAATTTATTTATATATTGGATTCAAATCGACTTGTGTCGACATTTACGAAAATAATTCTACTACTTTATTATTTAATTCTTAACAATGAAGCGAATATATTCAGCAGTGAGTTGTAATGAAATAAAATTTTCTGATAAAAAAATATCAATTTAATCTTTAACTGCCTTTTAAAAGATTCTTTCTTTTTTCAAACCCCAAATTGCCTAATATCGATTTATATTTATAAAGTATAACAGCTTTGCTTTTGTAGTATAGAAACTATTACATAATGCATTTACAGTTAGATCAATTTTTCTTACGAGTGGAACACATCGGGTCGTCAATAATTAGTTCTCTTGTTCCTGCATTCCATTACTTTCAGAACCATTTCGATGACTCACGTCATTGTCTATGCGTCTTTTAGGCTTTCGACAAACAAAATACACGCTATTATATTCACATTGTAACATACTGTTAATATTCTGTGCGTAACGCGTTCTCACGCGTGTTTCTTCCTTCTGAAAATGCAGTAAATAATCACAATAAGTTAATGTCACAATATGTGACAGTGTAGTGCATTATGTTATTGAAAATTTAATTACTTCTAACTGAAACCCAAATCCCTGAATCACATCGCGAACAACATCGTAACTTGGTTCTATTGAGTCTTCCATTGGCATATCGCTGAAATGGTACAATAATGGTCCAAGATTGATCCATATACCTCCCGGTTTTAGAATCTTGTAGATTGTTTCAATAAATTGTACAACATTATTTGCACAATCTATAAAGAAACACGTTGCAACACAGTCCCAATGATTGTCTTCTGTGTAAACCTGCAAAATGAATAATCATTTAAATATATTTCCTAAAGCTTTACTGAACTATGAAATCTACCTCTAAAAAGTCGCCAGCTGCCATAGAAAACTGAGCGTTTTCTGGTAGATCGCTCGGGTTTACATCGGGAAAAAATACAGCCTGATTTTGATGCTCTGGTTTTAAATTATTCATATACTGATGAACCCATGGATGTACTTGATATGAATTTACACCCCTACATCTGTAAAGATTTTAAAAATAGTAATAATCTAAAATAGTAATTAAAGCAATTTCCATTGATACTTACTTGTTTAACACAAAATGTGATGCAAAAAGCATAAAAAGGGAAAATTCATTTCCTTGGCAAATATATCCTCGTCTTGCAATTTCGTATGCAAGTCTTCCTAATCCTGCTCCAGGTACTAAAATTTGCACTTCAGATGGTGTACTAGAAATTTACCTATCATTTCATACTTTTCTTAACTGTTTTAATGTAATGAGGTAAACAATCTCAGTAAAGATTCTTTAGTGTGTTCATAAAAATTCTAAAGATTCGTACCAGTATTCTAAAGGAAATTGATTTAGTATTTCATCTATAATAGGTTGATAACACGCGTTACGTTCTTCAGTCCCCTCCACGCTCCAATCGCGAACCAGTTGTTTAATCGTTGCTTGCACCTTTTCTTGATCAGCCATTACTGGACGAGGATTTAGTGTCTGCAATCAGACCTACCTATATTTTGTACAATAGAATACATTTTTATAAAAAAAGAAGCTTGTTAAAATCACAAGAAAAAAGCTAAGGATTAATAAGAAATTTAATATTCTTTTTAAATAATGTTAAAGGTTATAGTTCATGAGACATAGAAATGAAAATATTGGAGCATTTCTAGCATTAATACACTGTTTATATAGGATTAATAAAATCAATTGGTCACAATATGTTTAGAACATATATTGAACAACAGGATATATGCATGCCACACGCCAGGTAAACTTTTCTTACACTGTCTGTCTGTGCACTAGCTGGGCTCACATTTTCAAAGATATGGGCAACATCTTTTATGATCATCTTAATTATTTCATCATTATTTTCGATACATCTTTTAACTTCTTGCAGATGTTCTTTATATTTTGACAAGAGTTTTTGATGATGAGGTGGAAGTGTCAGCAAATATGATTCTGTTTTTTTTACCCTTGACAATGAATGGGTTCTGGAAAAGAGATTATAAAAATGAGTCGTTGTCTATCATAACATTATGGTTAACATGTTATAATGTTATGCAACTGTTAGCTGAATACAAATAATAATTTAAGGAGATAACAATTTATACATTACATATAATTGTAAGACCTGATTGGACAAACCTATGGTGGTCTCCTATTATACAAAGGTCACTGAACTTTTGCTGGAAAGCTCAATGACACAATTTGGATAATAGATTTCTGTAACGATAGGAGAACCATGAAATACAGCCAAATAAAACATTGTGCACCACTGCGTCGACACAGGTTAAGTAATATCGACGAAAATGTTCGACGGTAAACCTAAAATCGCGGACAACAACGTAGCAAGTTATTGTCGTTACAATGTACAAAGAAGAAGGTAAAAAAAAATAAAGGTAATAAAGATAAGGGCAAATCGTCGAGTCGAGGATTAGAGCACAGGAAGACTTAAATGACTTCTCGTCGATTACTCACTTGTAATATTTGAAAGCCGAGACAATTCGTTGAAAATGCTTCCTTTCCTCTTCGTCCTCATAAGTGTCGTGCATTTTTCTCGGATACGGATTTGACATTGTTTCCATTTTTCTATTCGAACGCGGAGCTCTATATTTCAATGAGTTTTTTAGCACGACGTTCGGTGGCGGCTTTCTTGGTGCACGCGTTACGACGCGTTCTCATTATCACGATGGTTTCTCTCTTTAAGGCTGAACCGTAAACAGATTTTGCTTATCGACAATTGCATTAAGTTACAAAAGTAATTCATAATATATTCAATTCATTAAAATTGTCTGCTAGGTTTTACGAGATGACAAAAGTATCTATACTATATCACGCTTGAAATCTATCTAGAATTTCATTAATTACAAAATTCTACATTATTATTTAAATTACATCAGATAGTGCAATTTCAGCAAAAAATTACAATAACATTCGTGGCAGATAGTACTGAAGTATTAGAAAAATGTAAAATGGATATGTGCATAATTAATACATTATGTATGTAATGTACATACATATGTATTTCTTCCCGGTTTTGTATAAGCTTGAATTTTGAGATCGATGAAATTGTCATTCATTTAAATAAAAAATCAGAGATAATACACAAATAATTTTGCTTGGTTTGTTGCACTTAATCATGAAATAAGACAGTATTTAATTGTACAGCTAGGGATCTATAATTATACATAGTGTTCTTTCTTATCATTAAGAATTTGAATTATTTATTCATACACTTGCCATTTTTGCGCATTGTAAAACATCACACGTATGTCTTTTTTAAACAATTTATTGCCAATGTATAACGTTGATAAAAATTTGAAAAATTAGATGATTATATATTTACGCATCAGCTAAAAAATGATTAGAAATTGATAATTCGGACACCCGGTATACTGCAGTGACACTGCATCGTGAGTCGCATTAAAGGTAACTAAACTGCAAAAACCGTGTATAACTTGAAAAAGTCAAGGTAAATGTTCCAACGTGCACTAAAGAATTCATAAAATGATTTCTATCGGCCCACAAATCTTGACGGCTACGTGAAAATCGGTGGTGTGAAATAATAGTCGAAGGGAACTGCTCATAGGCGTAGGCAAGGGGTTCCGCTGAAAATTACGAGGGAATATACGTATCAGGCCTAACAATAGAGTTCGATTAAAGGTTCGACGGAATAATTAAATGGTAACGTGTAAGATGAGATTGTGACGAATCCACGGGTGAAATTGGTTGGTTGCAATTGGAAACGGTGCCAAGGCGCAACTCGCATATCCGCAGAATTTCTATAGCTGTTGCGGTTGCAGGTAGGACATGCTTGTCCTCGCCATTTTTAAAAGGAGTACCTCAGTCGCTAATCAACCGCCGTGGGGTGCGTTTCGGTGTCTCTGCCGGCGGTGATTGTCACCTCGAACTCGAACTTGCGCGACCTTTTTTTTTTCTTCTGCTTGTCAGAGCCTCGCGAGGGGATTCCGCGATGACGACGGTGTGAAGAGGGTTCCATTGGTTTTTTCTAACGCGCGCAACTGAGGTGTTTAACGAAAAAGGTGTTCATCGAGGAGGCACCGAACGCGAGAATCATGTCCAGCGTAACGCAAATGTCCAGCGGGCTGAGCAAGCTTAAAAAGAAACATTTTCGAGTGAAACATCAAAAGGTTAAGCTATTCCGTGCGAACGAACCTCTCCTCAGTGTTTTCATGTGGGGTGTCAATCATACGGTGAGTACGAGAATGTCTCTTAGCGTGACAGCATCGTACGTCATCGAAATGCCATTTTTCTTCGTCTATTGCGAAACTTGATAGAACCAGAACGTTTGGTGTTAGTTTTTTTTCGCCATAACACAAAGCGTCTCAACGATCATTTTTTACTGATAATATTTGTTGGTAACTTGAGAGTCATTCGGTCACCTTCACCCTTACTAGTAGCCAATGTATTTCTGATTTATTTTACATTCGTTGTTAGAACGCACTTGTGACGCAAATTTGTTTTTGTCAGCGAAGGGATCGGTCGCCGACTGATTTATAGTTCACCTTGTGCGCTGTTTTTGCAAAATAGTGCGCGTCAGTTATTTACGTTTAAGACCTTGTTGTGATTCTATTATAATTACAGTGAGGTAGGCCTGACCGTTATTCGATTAACATTATTTTAATGAACAAGATACCTTGCTTGATCGAATTATATCCGACGAAGTAATATTTTGCAAAATATATGATTATAGCAAATATATTTTGCGATGATATAACAAAATTTTAGCAGGAAAACCCATATTGAGATTAAGATTAATGTATACTTCAATTTTTATTTACTATTTAATCACTACAATAATTAATGACTTCCTAGTTTTTGATAGTTTGGTAACAACTGATTAAAGTACATTTCTACTAGTAAACCTTGAGGAAACAAATTTAATTGTACTATTTTTGGTAAATTATTTGATACATGGGAACTGTTCTATGCGCACATTAAACGACTTATATGCACAGTACATTTTTTATATCCATTTTTGATTGATGGCACTTATATGTGCAGATGCATGATCTTATATACAGGTTAATTATGATAAATCTTATACACTATAAGTATATACATGAGTTGGAGCATATGTCTCATATTTGCATGAAACAGATTTTATTTCTAAACCAAAATTTTCATCATTACTGTCTAAGAATAAGCACGAATTTCATTTGTGTAAAAATGATGATTTATCTCTACACAAACTTTATATTTTTTTGCATTTCAGATAAATGAACTTAGTCATGTTAACATACCAGTAATGCTCCTGCCAGACGATTTCAGAGCCTACAGCAAATTAAAAGTGGATAATCACCTTTTTAACAAGTAAGTTCTGTAATATCTATCAACAGTATTACTATAAATTTATAGTGGTACATAATAACAAAATAGATACAAATAAGAGACTAATTAGAATGCATTTAGCATCTGAGAGTATAAGACCAATGTTTTGTCTGATATAGGAAGAAATTATAAATTTAAAGCATACCACTGAGGTGGTCTATTCTAAATATACCACTTAAATACTGAATTAGTAGGTTGGTCACTGCTTTTAATAATAGAATCAATGAAGGTCCTCGTATCCGAGGTTGTGGTTAATACAGATAGCTTTATTTCCAAATTTGAACATGAGTGACTCCTGTACATATTGGAATTTTAAAAAGATTATATAGTAATGTTTTTGCAGTATTTTCTTTTTTAATGAAAATAATAAGAATTTTGTTTTTTTTAGGGAGAACATGCCCTCTCACTTTAAAATTAAAGAGTATTGTCCATTAGTATTCAGAAATTTAAGGGAAAGATTTGGTATAGATGATTTGGACTATAAGGAATCTATGACAAGGTAAATGGTAATTTATTTAACAGTCTGTGTCTCTTATATACTTATTTAATCTGTAAATATTAGTTTAAATGTATCTTTAAAGTAGGAATGTACTTGATCTCTCTTTGTGCAATGCATTTCACAAATAAGAGGAAAACATTTTTTAATACACTTTTAGATGCCTTCCTTTCTATTATGTTGCACTGCATGTTCAAGATATGTATTATGTTATATGAAAGCTTTATGTCAGAAACTATGATAGTGTGCTCGTGTAAAGTATCTGTGTATGTATCAAATTTGATAAATGTTTCTCAGTTCTTCCCACTACAAAGTACATTTATTTATTTATAGAACATTGCAGATTTAGAGGCTTTACTTGATACAACCTTGAGGAGAGATAATCCGCAGAATGACTCATAGGCAAAATAATTGTAAATAAAACGTTTTATCTTGATACTTGATATCAGTTTGAATTGAAATGTTGAGAAGGATTTTCTTGTCATGATATCAATAACATTTTTCATTAATGAAAGCGCATACTACTTGTGTTTGTACATTTCTGATATGTCTGAAGTCTCAATAAAATTTTACTACATTGTAAAGGCAATTAAACTTTAAAAAATATGAATTAGAGGAAATTCAAGCATTACAGTAATACAATGTTCTTTTTACAAGGCATGCAAACAGAAGTGTATTACTAGATATTCAACTTTTGTGACTAACATATTTTCCATATGGAAAGGATCTTATATAAATGTGATACTATGTTAGGGAAAATGATAAACATGAAATTTACTCTACATTTGAAAGTATGAGGACGAAATTACTGACAGTAAACTGTAATACATAAATTTTAATGCTAGATGTCGGGCATTTAATCCTTCACAAACAGAGAGGCATTTGGATTTGACTGGGAAGGCTCGTGAATTGGTTCACCGTTCTGCTACTGCTCCTTCGATAACTCTTTCTCCCGCTACTCCCATTTTTTCACAAATTCCAGTCCTAAATAAACCACTACGTTCCTACAGTTTTAAACCAAAGCGTCTGAGGTTAGCCAGTCTTGATTTTTCAATTTCTGTGTGTTGCTTGTGGCTAACTTATTTCCATGATATTCTTATTAAAGACAAAGAATCAATTTCAAGAAACCCACAGCACATACATTATTTCACAAAACTCTTATCAAACACAAACAATATATGTAATTATATATTACTACAAAATATCATAAATTAAAGACCATAAATTACATTCCAGCATGTTTTTCTTATAACTTGACGTTTTTTTATTTGAATTTTAGGTGATTGACAGACGTTGTTCACATAGTTTTGTATCAGTTTTTTTTACTCCATTATAGTACACAATGTAATATGTGAGTAATTAATAAATGAACCGTTATGCGTAGCATTTAACTGAAAAATAAGTCTATGTTTTGTTTGGCATGTGAATTGTAATCACTGTGAAGACTAATCAGGATTGGTGTCAAAAAATTATCAAAATGAAAATAGTGTGCTTTGATGTGACAACAATGAGTGCTTTATCCTGTAAAGAAGTATGTTATTTTATTACTATTAATTGAAATAAATAATTGTTATTTTTTCTAATTTCAGATCACAGCCAATATTGGATGATCCTTCTGGGAAAAGTGGTGCAAAATTCTATCAATCGTATGATAAATTGTTTATTATTAAAACTCTTACAAGCGAAGAAGTAGAAAGGATGCATTCATTTCTGAAACATTATCATCCGGTATGAAGGAATCATTCATTAAAATAAGTTTACGTATCGTCGCACATGACTAACAACATTATTTACAGTATATTGTTGAAAGGCATGGGAAAACATTGTTGCCCCAATATCTTGGCATGTATCGTCTAACAGTCGATGGAGTCGAACACTATGTTGTTGCCATAAGAAATGTATTCTCAAATCACCTAACAACTCACAAGAAATTCGACTTGAAAGGTTCAACGGTAGATCGCGAGGCATCTGATAAGGAGAAAGAGAAAGATCTGCCAACTTATAAAGACAATGACTTTGTCAAAGAAGGGATGAAAATTTATATAGGCGAAGAAGCAAAAGGAAAACTCATAGAGACATTAACTGCCGATGTCGACGTGAGTTATTTCCTTTTGTATTGTTTTTTTTGCCTCCAATACATGTATTTGTAACTTGAACAAAACTATAATCTTTCTTCAATTCTCATAATTTACAAATACAAATATCTATTGAACAATATTATCTTACTACGTTTTGTAACAAATTGATCTTACAGTTTCTGACACGATTGCACTTAATGGACTATTCCTTATTACTCGGTTTACACGATTGTGCAAGAGCTGAACAAGAGAACAGGGAGCGTGCGGAGCGGGAGGAAGAAGAGGAAAATCACGAAGATGAAGAAGATAGTGAGTCTGGAAGCGGACTAGATTCTCGAGGTCCAATGGGAGAGTGAGCATCACTTAATATATTTATGAAATAATTTTTTCAATATTTCTAATGTTTATTTAATTCCTCAGCCGTTTATGGGGTTGGTGTGGTGTTGCTGGCATGGCAACACCACCTGAATCACCTCATGCTCCGTTAAACCGCGATACCAGTATACAATATGAAGATGCAATAATTCCTCAATTAGATATTTATGCAATCCCTAGTAAAGAAGGTAATAGTTATTTTTATTAGCAAAAATAATTATTAAGTTTAGTCCTCAATACTGAACTGTTGTTTCAGGTGCACCTACAAAGGAAATTTATTTTTTAGCCATAATAGATGTACTAACACATTACGGTGTTCGTAAACAAGCAGCGAAGGCAGCTAAGACAGTGAAATATGGTGCTAACGTCGATGGTATTTCAACCTGTGATCCAGAACAATACGGCAAGCGATTTATAGAGTTCATGAGCAAAGCTATAGAATAAGCTCGTTGTTCGTTGTTGCTATGCTTGTAAATTTGGATCGCTCGTTTGGAAATTGTGACGATATTGTCGTTTTTAACCGAGACAAAACATCACTGATGTTTTTGCGTTCACCTATAAGGGAAAGTTTAGTGCATTGAATGGTTTGTTCTTCGCACGTTGATGTTTGACCACAAAAAATGTGTGTTTTTCACACGGTGCGTCAATAATGTCGTTACCGTCGAGTTGTCTCAGTATTCCTTACGACATTCACAACGGAATTAGAAACGTAACAAATGAGTTTTGCAACCCGCCGATCCCAGGAGATCTTTCAAGAATTTTTTCGCGGAGGAATGTTTGTTACCTTTTATAAATAGTGACATATTTTCTCAGTATTTTGCTTACGTTTCCACAGTCACGCTTACCGAACCATCGTGGTTCTTGATTTCTTGTTCCCACGAATTTCGCTCTGTCTATGCTTTGATTACTTTTGAGTGCATTATGTGTACAGACACGCGAAAGCTGCAGAAATATCAGAGGAATTAATCGCGTTTCTTGATCGTTTCGTGAGTGAAACGTTACTCAACGTTATACTCAAATGGATACGTCGATATGTGTTGGTGTTATTCGCACAGCTTGCTCCCAGCAAAGCGATTCGAGAAAATGAAACAGTCGTTAAAAGCGCTGTGTCACGTGAAACATTGGCATCATCACTGATGACGACACAAAAAAAAATCTTATATCTTACCTATGTCATGTGTCATTGTTGGTACACATGATGTATAACGAAAGCTGGATTAATTATCGTCGATCGACGTAAGATTACAGTAATTAACACGTAACGCTAGTTTACTGAAAATTTGAAAATTAATGTTGATGTTACACATACATATATAATAACCTCAAGCGAAAACCGTTTGAAGTATCCCACGAAGGAGCCTACACCTATGCGTAAAGAGCCTCTCCAGTTTCATAAAGAAGGATCAATAATGCTTCTGGTCTAGTGTCTGTGGTATTATCTGGAATGTTTACATATTCGAGTTAGAAACATAATATATATATTAAACGAGAAGTAATATATATATTATAATACGCGCAGAAGGTACTACGATATATACATATATATAATATACATATACGTACATGTATATTATATATATGTATATATTTGTATGTATGTATGTATGTATGTATGTGATAAGAGCTTGAATCTTTAAGAATTACGAGTAAATGTTAAAAGTCTGTAAATGTCACCTCCTCGGTCGTTTTCAGTTACCGCGAGTCGGTGTTAAGGTCATCGATTCGCTTAGTTCATCAAGTATATTTACAGGGAACAAAGCGAGTCGTATGTATTATGCACGATTTATGTCTCCTTTCACTCGTGAAAGTGCTCAAAGTTAGCCCGCGTTTCGATTATTAGAATTTAAGAGAAACCTGAACGGCATATGTATACTCTATTTTAACGCATTGAGGGTGGGACGCCCGGTTGTTCTTCTCCTGAACATTACGTATTTTTTTCCCTTGAATGTGTATTATAAATTGACGCGATAGTTTGTTAACGGTATATGGCTTTAGTTAAGAGTGAATAGTCTGACAATAATTATTTAGAAAACTGTGTCTCGACATTTAGTCCTACCATCGCCACAAAGCGATTGTTTGCGCGTGATGACTGATATTTCGCAGATGTTGTAGCTTTTGATGTTGCCATGAAATTCTCTGCTTATTTAAAGAAAGCATATAAAAACGTTTAATGTTAAAGAAAATATTAAGTGGAATATTATTTCTAACATTCTTAAGTATACTCAGGGATATTTTCCAACATAACAGACAGTACACGCGACAGTACACAGACACACACACACACACGCAACACAAAGGGAAATGTCAATGACTGGTTGTATTCGGTTCTCAATGCGTTAATTCTACAGCGCAACTTCAGCTGCACAAGAACTCGCTTAACAATTTCTATGCAGGTCGATTTTACTATAGCTTCACAGTTTTTTATTCGGTGAACTTGTCTTGCAACAACTAGCTTCTAATGGACAATATTCTAAGGTCGCGCGCGCGCGCGCGTCTCGTTTGTACTTGCGGTCAAAGCAAAAGGGAGAATGCATCGTCGCATAACACTATTATCTTTAAATAAACAAGATATCCGATTTTTTAAATAACTTGTTGTTACATTATGCCCTCCTTTTCAGCGTTACCAGTTTTCTGGTTCGTGTTGCCATGGGTGCTGCAGAATTCGCACGTGAGCTTCTCAGCTTCCTTATCATTCCTTGAATCTTCAACCTGTTGATGTCTGTCAAGCGATCGAGGATCATGACCAGAAGGGTAGCAATCGTTTTTGCAGAGCGTATTCTTTGCGACGCTTAAAACAATCAACGTTTCCAACCGTCTTGTTTGAAAGTTCGCTGAACGAGGACCCTGGAGGTCTCATTCTTGCAATATGTCATCATTTGTGTCAGCAAATACACTGGGGTACGTCGGTTAGCTGTCCGTAAGTAAACATCCTGTGCGGGTTTGGGTCTAGCAGATTTACTAAAGTATCTTAGCACATGCTGAGAATGAACATCAATGTATATCTAATTTAGTCCATGCAGTCTCTGCTTCTCGCTTTAAGCCTTTCCTGTGCACACAGAAAAGGATATTATACAGGGTGGTCTATCTAAAGATAACCATCCAAGTACCTCCTTCAATCATGATAATATAACAAATATTTTGTCTGTAATACATATTATATCAGGGCTGGTTTGAATTACCAGACATCCAGGATTGGTTCTGTTAGTCCCGGATTTTAATTATATTGTATTGAAATCTGTGTCCGAAATTTTTAAGCAACTCGTTATAAAGATGGAAGACAACTAAATTATTAATTTATAGAAATAGTGTTTTTCGGCACACCGTCATCCTCTATATAAGTTTGGTGGGTAAAATTGGAATGTTGTTTCTATTACCTCTTGAAGGAACAATGTATTGTTCTTTATTGTTCAGCAGTAGGCTTAAGAACCGGTTGCTAGTTTTTGGTCCCTGTTCTTACAATTGATATGTAGTATAGTGCATCTTCGGACCCATTGTTGGCCCTCTTATCGTTTAAACTTGTTTGGTGTGACCTGTTCTTTCAGTTCCTTTCGGTATAAGCAATTGTATCGCGTTTAGGAATAATCGAAGCATTCCAAAATCACTCTCTTAGTTCTAGATATATGAGATATTTAATTGTTCATCGTAATTTTGCTACCACTATTAACCGTACAGTTGAACATCTTAATCAGATGTTGTATGTCCTGTTGGACTTGTTCCCTTAATTCATGTTCTAGAAAAAATGGATTCATTATTGTAGAAAAAGCTAATGATGCAGCCTAACGACTGGCGTAAACATGGCGAACGAACCATTCTCCCTCACACTGTCGCGATTACCTCGGTTGCCCCGTTAGATAGCGTGTAGATACTTGATTGATTGTTAAAAAAAAACTGATCATAATATAACGATTACTTTAACTAATTAAGGTATTCATCTAGTCTCGACACTTTATATGATTTTGTAAGTTGCCAACGCATCGAGAGAATAAGCAAAGTGAACACAGAAAACAGAAGATAAGTAATGTAACCCATTATTACTGAGAACACTCTGTACTATACAATAACGTTATTTAGTTACAAGAGTACGCTCAATTTCTGTAATGTTGTAGTATCTTTAAGATACAAAAAAAAATGAAGAAAAATGAAATATTATAACTATTTCTGTCGAATACAGTTTACTGCTACGCGATAGCAAATTTTTTGAATATATATATATTTTTTTTATTGTTGAATAACATATTATTACTGAAAGCGTTAAAAAAATTTGAGAATAATCAGTTTCCTGAAACATCGGTTTCGATGATTTTTTGACAAATTTTTATAATTCACACTACATACATGTAGAAACGATGTATATATTCGCTACTTTGCTGTGGGCAATACATACCCAGGCTTCTGTTGTCCTAACGTTTGTATTATTCACAGAGTCTGTGTTGTATAAGCCACAGGAAATAAATGGACATTTATCACTACATGGAATTATAAATAGAAGAAAAACGAACAGATTTTAGACAAGAATATCTTTAATCTTACTTTATGTTAAGGTGCGGAAGACATCGTTTCGTTCTTTTGTAAGATAAAAATGTCTTAATTAACAATACACCTTGAATTATAAACAGTTTAATTATATTTTGATCTAAAGTAATAATTCAGGAACAGAAAATATATATTTCGTTATCAAACGAAACAAAAACTGTATTAAGTACCAATTTGTACGCGCTTATAACTGATTTGTACTTTTCGTTACTGCATAAAAGGAAAGAAAAATAGAAGAGAATTCCATCCCTTCGTCACTTTGGTCTTTGCATACATATAAACTATGTAATTAGTCTTTTCTTATGATATAAGTCTTCATCTCGATTCACGACACATCACATGTTGCGAACATTTAACAAATAAACCTAAACGCGAGGCTTTTTCGTATTATTTTCCTCTTGACTACAGTTATCATTGCACGAAGTTTTTTTCTCTGGACTGAAGTAACTACTGCGTTTTCTTCTTGGTACAGGCGACACTTGCTTCAAGTGTTCCATGTCGTTAAACACCACTTGGACACCTCCTCCACTAGTTGGTAATATATCACCCTACAATACAAGGGATATTTATAATTTGGATTTACAACTTTAGAAAATATTTCGCATAGATCTTGTAGAGAATTTAAATAAAATGTGCAAATTATTTATATTCAAACTATAATGATTTACTAACAACGTTTACACAAAGTTGTGACTTAAAATTTTTTGGACGGTGTTATTTACTGTTTTAATTATAAATACTAACTTTGTATAGTTTAGTTTCCAGTTCACCATCAGTATCTTGTTCCTGTGCGACGAGACAATACCTGGATACTCCACCTGTTATATCTCTTGGATCTGTCAATTGTGTTACACTTCGCTTGTGTCGTAGAAGCGGTTGGAGGATAGTTCCAACTGGAACCAAGCCAGAAGGCCGGTGATCTACCCATCTCTCAGCGCTTTGTGATCGTCTGTACCGCAGATTCACAACTGGAATTCTTTCCTACAAATCACATAAATCAAAAGCTAAAGGTAATAATATCTTTAATTAGCGATGAATAATTTATTATTTACCGTTGTACTAAGTTTGGTATCATGGGAGTCTTCAAACTGAACCGTGGACGGTGTCTGCACGCAGGTCTTTGGAGTAGTTGGTACAGAAGACGCAGCTCCTGATACTGTTGCGATATTAGTAGTAACTTTAGGTGTTCTAGGAACTTCTGAATCACTTGATATTGTTAATGGAATTGATTCCTTCGATTCCGTTTTTCTTTCAATAACAGCGTCATCATCTTGTAGTATTTGTTTCATTAGCTGCAATTTCTCATCCTTCTGTTTCATTTGACTCTAATAAACAAATATAAAATGTGTATATTGACATATTTTAAAAAGTAATAGTTACATGTAATACAATTGAGAACAATAGTCGTCTACCTGAAGAATTTCACGCTGCCGACGTAATTTAGTTTCTAACTCCTTGCCCATCTTATCAGTCTCAATTTGAATCTTATTACTATATTTTTCTTTAACTCTTTGCTTGTCTATTGCACGTTGATTTAATACCATATCTTTGTTCTTCATCTGTGGATAAAATCCATCAATTTATCAATCAATTAACAAGAGGTAGAAATTATAAAATAAACAAACGTTACTTCTTCTTTCATATGTCTGATTATGTCGTTCGCGCTATTCAATCTAAACAGGAGAGTGTCAATTTGTCCTTCCGTTTTGCAAATGTGGGATTCCAAAGCAGATATCTATAACAATACAATTGTTATACTTGAAATTTTACATATTTGTTTTCTTACTTTTTTCTTTTGTTGATCATTTGACAATTTCAACGAGGAATTCTCAATCCTAAGCGACGTGTTGTCCCGTTCCATTTTCAATAACATATTCCTGAAGTTAGTTTCTAGAAAAATGAATCGTTCATTAGTTTTTAGAAAAATTAATAATTCATTTAGTATTAGCATGTAATTACGTTTCTGCCTTAAATCCTCTTGTAAGACGTTTCTTTTTTGGATACGCATCTCCAGGAATCGCATGAGCGTTGTAATTATTTCGTCATTATGTGGATTCGTTAAGTCTGTGTTTGGAAATGGTCCTCCAAGACTATAAAAAATTTGATGGTGGAACAAAAGTAGTATTTCTAGTTTAATTATGTTTAACTGACATACCTGTACACTAAACCCAAGTCGACTTCTAAGTCACCAGCAGCTGGGTTACCAGCAGATTCTAATCTATTCTTTGCTTCTTTAAATATCTGCGTTAGAAATAAAAAAAACGATAAACAAAACATATATCGGTGTTAAAGCTGATTAAATTTAAACAGAAATATATTTTCTACTTTATTGGCTTGTCTTCTGCCGGGTGTATATCCCAAATTTAATTTTGAGCTTGTGGAATTCGTCACTTGCACTTCCTGACTGACTTCGGCAAATTTCATTACTTGCTACATAAAGTCGAAAATTGTAATTAGTACATAATTAGCATACTTTGTATCCAGTTATGGAATGATTACTCACTATAGATTCATCGTAATCGTCAACTCTAGGATTAACGCAAACAATCATTCTAACAGTGCCTTCACCATCAAAATAATTTTTGAAAAGATGAGTCACTTTGGACTCTCTATATGGAACTATCTTGTTTATACCCTGGATTTGATTTTCACGTAGCATTTCCAGACATGTTCTTAGAGTCATCAATGAGTTATTTATATTTCCTATTTTTACAAAAACGCTTTATGTAGATGACAGAATAAGTGCTATTGCTATTATAATATTTACCTGCTTCTCTAAGTCGTTGACCAGTATTCTTGGAACGATTTGTACGCTCACTTCCAGCTAAATCTACTAACGACAATTGACTAATACAAATAACTCGTTTATCTTGCACAATTTGTTCTCCATCCTTATCCAATGGTGCCTAGTGAAAGATAATATGGAATTATTGAAATCATCACTTTTTGATAAAAATTTAGAAATACTTTAATTTTGTGGGCAGTATATTATTAATTTATTGTACCTGTACAAGTCTTATAGTAAAAACACTGTGAGATCTACTGGATTCAGCATTGAGGGCTGTATATGCAATATGTCTTTTCCTTTGACCTCTTCGGAATGCTTCAGAAGCTTCTTGTGAACTTTTCACCTCCACCTCTGTGCATCCATGAACGTACATGTTCCTGTTCCCATCTTCTCGAACAATTTTACTCTGTAAAATCCTAAATTTCCCAGACTTTATCATAAACGAAATTAATTTTTCAACATCATCTTAAGAATTATACTCACTTTATTTTACCCTCGTTATCTTCTAATAAATCATACACGCTATTATTATAAACTTCTATATATGTTACAAACACAGCATATGCATTATCTTCATCAACAATTAGTGTTTGCGATACACCAGTTTCGATGGAGCCATTCTCATTATTATTTGCTTCGTCATCAGTCTTAGTTCTACAAATTAAGGATATTAAGTAATGAAAGCATTAATCATAGTTTATATTTAAATAAACAAACATACATTCTAGGAGTTTTCCCATTTTGATCAACACCGAGCTTCTGAAGCTCATTTTGTCTATCTAATGAAGCATCCACTTCCGATTGCACATCAAATCCATTTAGTTTATCTGGTTTGAAAATAAACTTTTTTGCTTGACAATTTGCTATGCTATTAAAAACAACATCCAAACATCTCGGCATGATGCCTGCATCATACTGATTCCCTGACATGGTATATGTTTTACCACTACCAGTTACTCCATATGTGAAGAGTAAACTATTCCTACCATTAATCAGATTCTCAACTAATGGAAGAGCAACTAATTCAAACACATCTTTTTGAGACGTGTTTGGACAAAAGACACGGCTGAAAGATGTCTGAATAATTCTATTCATGATACGGTTGTTTGTTATTGATTCTGGTGGAGTGATCACCAAGGTTGTATCCGATAAGATCTTCATACAGGACACATCATTGGGATGAACCATTGGCCTCAAACGGCAGAAAACCCTAACGGGTTCCTTGTAAACTTCGTTGTCACATTTCGTGCGATTTGTGCATTTACGAGTTGCAACAGGTGGTTTAAAATTTCTAATAAATACAAAAATTAGGGATTAGACATGAAATTTGAAAAATAACATAAATTAAAATTCCTTGGTTGCTAAAATAATCTTTCTAAATTTTAAAAACTTCGTGCCAAATATCTAGAATTTGGACTTAGGTTAATTTAGTACTTACGCTGATTTCATTTTGTAGTCAAACAGAAGACATAAAAGTTTGAAACACGTTCTTTTATGAAGTATAAAGTAGTTTCGTAGGTGGGTTATTCAGTATACTTATTTGAAATAGCCGTTGCAGAGGTTATCAATAAACAAGTTTAAAAGATAAACATATGCACTATGAAGTCGCCTACCATAAATACGAAGGTGCACTGTTAAGGCGTATTTCCACAAAAAAATGTCCTCTTTATTACAATACATCAAGAAATATATAATAGTATATTTATATGTTGTAT